ATCAGAGATCTACAACCTATCCTGAAAGATGATCCTTTACTCTCACAGATCTTGGGAGACAGACCTGTCCTCGCTTACAGACAACCCCCCAACCTAAAGCAAATACTCACCAGCAACCACACATCACTGAACAAAAACACTGACCCTGGAACCTATCCTTGTAACAAAGCCCGATGCCAACTCTGTCCACATATCTATTCAAGTGACACCATCATAGGGCCTAATCACATCAGCCATACCATCAGGGGCTCGTTCACCTGCACATCTACCAATGTGATATATGCCATCATGTGCCAGCAATGCCCCTCTGCCATGTACATTGGCCAAACCGGACAGTCTCTACGCAAAAGAATTAATGGACACAAATCTGACATCAGGAATCATAATACTCAAAAACCAGTGGGAGAACACTTTAACCTGTCTGGCCATTCTATGACAGACCTGCGGGTGGCTATCTTAAAACAGAAAAACTTCAAAAACAGACTCCAACGAGAGACTGCTGAGCTGGAATTGATATGCAAACTAGACACAATCAACTCAGGGTTAAACAGGGATTGGGAATGGCTGAGCCATTACAAACATTGAATCTATCTCCCCTTGTAAGTACTCTCACACTTGCTTCTTATCAAACTGTCTGTACTGGGCTATCTTGATTATCACTTCAAAAGTTTTTTTTCTCTTACTTAATTGGCCTCTCAGAGTTGGTAAGACAACTCCCACCTGTTCATGCTCTCTGTATGTGCGTATATATATCTCCTCAATGTTTCACTCTATATGCATCCGAAGAAGTGGGTTGTAGCCCACGAAAGCTTATGCTCTAATAAATTTGTTAGTCTCTAAGGTGCCACAAGTACTCCTGTTCTTTTTGCGGATACAGACTAACACGGCTGCTACTCTGAAACCTTATTTACAATGTCACCTGAAAGTGAGAACAGGTGTTCACATGGCACTTTTGTAACCGGCACTGCAAGATATTTACATGCCAGATATGCTAAACATTCGTATGCCCCTCCCATGTTTTGGCCACCATTCCAGAGGACATGCTTCCATGCTGATGATGCTCATTAAAAAAATAATGAGTCAATTAAATTTGTGACTGTACTCCTTGGGGGGAGAATTGTATGTCTCCTGCTCTGTTTTACCTGCATTCTGCATATATTTCATGTTATAACAGTCTCAGATGACGACCCAGCATGTGTTCGTTTTAAGAACACTTTCACAGCAGATTTGACAAAGCGCAAAGAAGGTACCTATGTGAGATTTCTAAAAATAGCTGCAGTACTCGACCCATGGTTTAAGAATCTGAAGTGCCGTCCAAAATCAGAGAGGGACGAGCGTGGAGCATGCTTTCAGAAGTCTTAAAAGAGCAACACTCCGATGTGGTAACTACAGAATCCAAACCACCAAAAAAAGAAAATCAACATTTTACTGGTGGCATCAGACTCAGATGATGAAAATGAACATGCGTCGGTCCTCACTGCTTTGGATCGTTATCAAGCAGAACCCATCATCAGCATGGAAGCATGTCCTCTGGAATGGTGGTTGAAGCATGAGGGGACATATGAATCTTTAGCACATCAGGCACGTAAATATCTTGCAACGCTAGCTACAACAATGCCATGCGAACGCCTGTTCTCACTTTCAGGTGACACTGTAAACAAGAAGCAGGCAGCATTATCTCCTGCAAATTGTAACCATCCTTGTTTGTCTGAGTGATTGTCTGACCAAGAAGTAGGACTGAGTGAACTTGTAGGCTCTAAAGTTTTCCATTGTTTTATTTTTAATGCAGTTTTTTTGTACATAATTCTACATTTGTAAGTTCAACTTTCATGATAAAGAGATTGCACTACAGTGCTTGTATGAGGTGAATTGAAAAATACAATTTTTTTGGTTTTTACAGTGCAAATATTTTTAATAAAAATAAATATAAACTGAGCACTGTACACTTTGTATTCTGTGTTGTAATTGAAATTAATATATTCAAAAATATAGTAAACATCCAAAAATATTTAAAATAAATGGTATTCTATTATTGTTTAACAGTGTGATTAATCACATGATTAATTTTTTTAATTGCTTGACAGCCCTAGTTTTTTTGTTTTGTTTTTTTACATTGTAGAATGGGATCACCTTTTTTTCTCATCTGAATGATAACTTAGTAAATATTTAATAGATTTCATTGCTTATATTTTCTTGGGGATTTCTAAAAATCTAAAAATGTCCGGGATTTCCCTCCGGTCGGCTATTTATCGACCAAAAAGCGGCTGTCAGGGCAGCCGAGCGCTGCTCGCATTGGGGCCTCAGCAGGCAAAGCCCCTTCCCGGCTCCCCCCTTCCCCTGCAGCCTTAGCACGCTGCCCGGCAGCGCTGGGGGGCGGGGCTGTGCGCCTGAGAGGGAACGCGGCGGCGGGGCTGGCAGCGGCGGCCAGAGCCCCTCCCCCACTTCCCCCCTCCTCCACAGCCTCAGCATGCCACTCAGCAGCGCTCGGGCGGGGCGCTCCTTGGGGAACGGAGCCAGACACCTGCTCTAAGCCGAGCGGCACGGTAAGGGGGCCGGGGAGTTGGAGAAGGGGGGCAGTCAGGGGACAGGGAGCGGGGTGGATGGGTCGGGAGTTCGGGGGGGGCTGTCAGGGGGGCAGGGGTGTGGAGAGGGGTTGGGACAGTCAGGGACAGGGAGCAGGGGGGGTTAGATGGGTCGGAGGGGCTGGGGGGGATGTCGGGGGAGGAAAGTGGGAGGGAGTGGCTAGGGGGCGGGGCTACCCCCCCCCCCCAAGTGTCCTCTTTTTTGAAAGTTCAGATATGGTAACCCTAATATAAAAAAAAACTTAATGATTATTAACGTTCTTTTGTTCTACAAATAAAAGCACACAACTCATATTTTAATATCAGTAGTCTTACCTTTCTAATGCAATGGATGTGCCCTCTCTCCCCCGCCACGGCAGCCACAGAGCTTAGGCTGGGAAGGAGGACCGTTTGTCCCCGGCAGCCGCAGCCCTGGAGGTGGGGAAAATCACCTCTTTCTCTGGCTGCCGCAGCCCTGCACATCCCAAATTCCCACCACCCCCTCTTCTCACCCCACTGCCCCCTCCCACCTACCCCCTATTCTCCCAAGGCCACCACCTCACCTTACATGTGCGTCTTCTCCAAGATCCAGGCACCTAATTAGTGGAGCCATACCTGCGTGGCTCCACTAATTAGGTGAATGGCCCTTCATTCTCTTATGTGCGGCTGCCCAGGCGTGCACCTTAGAGGGAACTATTCGCGGACCACCTGAATGGAACTCGCGGACCACTGGTGGTCCACGGACCACAGTTTGAGAACCTCTGCTCTAATCAGTTGTATATTTTAGAGAGGCCCAAAAATGGAGGCACCTTGGTGTGACACAGGAATCATCCAAATTTTGTTCCTGAAAAAGTCAATGGCAAAATTCTCAACAATTTCAGTGACAGCAGAACTGGGCCCAAATTCTCCAAATAAGGTCTGGAAAGGAACTGCTAACTGTAGATTTAGAGCCAAATCCTGCAAACACTGATGCATGCACATAATTTTACATGTAAGAATAGACCCACGGATTTCAATGGTGCTATGCACAGGCATAAGTTTTTGCAGGAATTGAGCTTTCATCAAATATTCTTAACAAAATGCAAAAATCACAAAGTTCAAGTAATTTTCTTTTTGTAATGCTACCCACTTGAAAAAGAACTGTTTCTTCCAAAATTTTGGCCTAAGAATACAATTTTTTCTATCTAACCACACCCATATTGCTGTGAAAATAGCCTATTTGTTGAGTGAAGGTAGCTTTGCACCAAAAACATGCAAGACTAACATTTTTATGTGACAAGTATCAGAGGGGTAGCCGTCTTCATCAGACGCATGTGGGTATTCACCCACGAAAGCTTATGCTCCAATACATCTGTTAGTCTTAAAGGTGCCACAGGACTCTCTGTTAATTTTTATGTGAAAAAGCTATTTAACCAAAACTTGCACTTATTGCCCCTCCCAGCTGGATGGTAGAATTTGCCCGTCACAAAAAGTCCACAAAGTGATATTTTTGGTGGGATGGAGGAAGAGATATCACTAGATCAAATGTCAAAAAACTGCATGATAAAGCTTGTGAATACGTGTGTCCCCCCATAACACTGGACTCAGTGGGGAATGTGTGCGTGTGTGTCCCAGGGGTGAAAGTAACTGAAAGGACTTACCAGTATGCAGGGCTATGGTCCTAGGGGGCAGGGCCTCAACCGGAAGAGGCGGGCCCTTTAAATCCCCCGGCTCTTTATATCAAGATGTAAAGGCCCCGGGGCTCTGGCTGCAGTGGCAGCTGATAGGAGCCCCGGGCTCTTTAAATCACTGCCGGAGCTGCGGTGGTGGCTGGGAGCCCCAGGGCTCGGGCGCCGATTTAAAGGGCCCGAGGCTGGGAGCCCCCGGTCCTTTAAATCAACGCCTGAACCCTGGGGCTCCCGGCCGCCGCCACTACCACGGGGCTCCGGCGGCAATTTAAAGGGCCCGGGGCTCCAGTTGCTACCCGGAGCCCAGGGCTCTTTTAAATTGCTGGCCTGGGGTAACTGCACCCCTGCTGGTATGGTCGGCTGTGTACCGGCTCTTGCCGTACCCATACTGGCTTACTTTCACCTCTAGTGTGTCCCGGTAACACTGTGCACTCTGTGGTGTGTGTGTCTCCCCACCACGCCGCACGCAGTGATGTTTCTGGGAGATGGATTGTGCAAGGGCAGTTTTCAATATTTTGCATCATCCGCCTGAGGTGACACAGAAACAAACACGGCACTGACACCCCCGGCTCATCACTGGGCTCCACTGCCTCCCCCGGAATCCCCCCAGCACTGGGCCGCCAGAAAACTCCCGCTACCGACCCTGCTCCCCCCAACTCTTTTCAGGCAGCCCCGCCACGCGCGAGTCTCCCTTGGGCCAGGGGAGGGGAGGGGCGAGGGCAGTGCGCAGGCGCTGTCGGTCGGGCTGGGCCGGAAGCGGTTTGAACTGCGGCGGGAGACGGCGGAGCTGATCCGGTCGTAGCGTAGCAGTGAGCGCGACCGGCCCCGAGCGGGCAACATGGAGCCTATCCTGGAAGGTACCAAGCCGCCCCGTGGGCCCGTTCGCCAGCGTGTGGGGACAGCTCCGGAGGCGGGGGGAGAGAACAGCTGCTGCTCCTCCACGAGGAGGGTAGCTGGGGGGGAGTTAGCAGCTCCAGGAGGGGAGGGTTAGCTTCAGGAGGCAGCTCTAGGAGGAGGAGGGTAGCTGGAGAAGGGTGTGTGTGTGTTAGCACACAGGGTGTGTGTGTTAGCTGGGGGGGAGTTAGCAGCTCCAGAAGGGTAGCGGAGCCGGGGGGGTAGCTCTAGGAGGGGAGGAGGGTGGCGGCGGCGGGGGCGGGGGAGGAGGAGAGAGTTAGCTCCAGGAGGGGGAGGGGGGAGTTAGCAGCTCCAGGAGGAGAGGAGGATAGCTTGGAGGAGGAGGAGGGTAGCTGGAGAAGGGTGTGTGTGTGTGGGGGGGGGTGGTTAGCAGCTCTAGGAGGGGAGGCGGGTGCGGGGGGGGAGTTAGCTCCTGGAGGGGAGGGGGGAGTTAGCAGCTCTAGGAGGAGGAGGGTAGCTGGAGAAGGGGGTGTGTGTGTGGGGTGGTTAGCAGCTCTAGGAGGGTAGCGGGGGTGGGGAGGGTAGCTCTAGGAGGGGAGGAGCATGGCGGGGGGGAGGGGGGAGTTAGCTCCAGGAGGGAGAGAGGGGGGAGTTAGCAGCTCCAGGAGGAGAGAAGGATAGAGGGGGGGGGAGGGGGAGTTAGCAGTTCTAGGAGGAGGAGGAGGGTAGCTGGAGAAGGATGTGTGTGTGTGTGTGGGGGTGGTTAGCAGCTCGAGGAGGGTGCGGGGGAGGGGGGGGAGTTAGCTCCTGGAGGGGAGGAGGGTAGCTGGGGGGAAGGGAGGGGAGAGTTGGCAGCTCTTGGAGGAGAGGAGGGTAGTTCCCCTGGGGGTGGGGAGGTTATTGGTTCCCTTTATATTCCCCATTTTCTGTCCATATTTTCAGGGCTTGCTATTCAGTTTTTTTTGTATCTCTCATCAACAGAAGTTGGTCCATTAAAAGATATTACCTCACCCATCTTGTCCTTGCTAGGACTTTACTTGGAGTTAGGTAACTTAAGAACACACCTTTTCTCCTAGTGAAGACGCATCCTCTGTTGCACCCATTTGAACTGTTTCTTTCGTCCCACCAGTTTCCCTGTCATTTTCACAGTTTCCTGGCAAACTTGTATTAAAACCCTCTTGTCCTGGCCAACAAGACAGTTGGGCCTTGTTTACATTTGAAAATGTTGTAACCATTCTCTATCAGCAATGTAGCTGTGATGAGTGCCTTAAGCAGTAGTGTAGATCGGATGGGGGTGTTTTTGCCATCAGATTACGAAAACCTGCTAGGGTTGCCAATTTTCTAATCACACAAACCCGAACACCCTAGCCCTGCCCCTTCCCCAAGGCCACGCCCCCCACTCACTCCATTCCCTCTCCCCCACCCTCACTCACTTTCACTGGGCTGGGGAAGGGGGTTGCGCCCCGGAAGCAACCAGCAGGTTCGGCTCTTAGGTGGTGGCGCATCAGGCGGCTCTGCACGCTGCTCTCGCCTGCAGGCACCGCCTCCGCAGCTTCCATTGGCTGCGGTTCCTGACCAATGGAAGTGCGAAGCCAGTGCTCTAGGCGGGGGCAGCATGTGGAGTCCCATGGGGGCCTCCCCCTCGGCCTAGGAGCCGGACCTGTTGGCCACTTCTGGGGCGCAACACGGAGCCAGGACAGGTAGGGACTAGCCTGCATTAGCTCTGCCGACTGGACTTTTAACAGCCAGTTCGGCGGTGCTTACCGGAGCCACCAGGGTCCCTTTTCGACTGGGTGTTCCAGTCGTAAACCGGACACCTGGTCACCCTAAAACATGCTGTATGGTTTTCATGATGTGGAGAAAATCCCTGAGTTGTGCTACATTAACACACCATTGCAAGTACTGGTGCAACTGTACTGTTGCTGGAAAATTGATACATTTTCCAATGTAGGGTCAGGGTGGGAGTTGTTACTCCTGCAGCTGCTCTCTGAGCTGTGTTTGTGGTGACTGGAAGGCACTTCTAGCCTGGTGTAAGTAGGGGAAGGGAAACTGCTACACTGTTGTGAACACCTCATTTCATGTAAGAGTCCCTTAGACCTTATTTACATGAGCAAAAATAAAATCTCTATTTCAGCAGCTGCCTGCAATGGTGCAGCTTCACTGTTAGCAGCGGTAAAACAATAAGCACTAGTATATAAACACTAGAACATTGTATACCACTATATCATGAAAACTACTGAGTAAGTCTTCATGAAATAGTAGTAAAAATTCCCAAACCCTGTCTATACTAGCAGCTGCACCACTTCTAAATACACGTGCTAAGTTTGCTTGTCTAGACATGCTCAGAGATAGTGCCATGGCAGTAGAAGCTGAAGTACGCCTGGAAGCATAAAGAATAAAAGTATAGAGGATTTGTTGTCACTTCCCTAAAATGGAACGTTCACTTGCCAGTTAGGGGCCAATTAGCCTGAATGTCCAACCCTGATAGCATCTGGCCCATAGTGGATGCCACATATAATAGAATCATAGAATATCAGGGTTGGAAGGGACCTCAGAAGGTCATCTAGTCCAACCCCCTGCTCAAAGCAGGACCAATTCCCAACTAAATCATCCCAGCCAGGGCTTTGTCAAGCCTGACCTTAAAAACCTCTAAGGAAGGAATTCCACCATCTCCCTAGGTAACCCATTCCAGTGCTTCACCACCCTCCTAGTGAAAAAGTTTTTCCTAATATCCAACCTAAACCTCCCCCACTGCAACTTGAGTCCATTACTCCTTGTTCAGTCATCTGGTACCACTGAGAACAGTCTAAATCAGGGGCGGGCAAACTTTTTGGCCTGAGGGCCGCATCGGGTTTCCAAAATTGTATGGAGGGACGGTTAGAGGAGGCTGTGCCTCCCCAAACAGCCAGGCGTGGCCCGGCCCCCGCCCCTTGATGGCCCCCCACGGACCCTTGTCCTATCCACCCCCCAGTTCCCTGTCCCCTGACCCCTCCATGAACCCCCGCCCAACTGCCTCATCCAACCTCTCCTCTCATTCCTGACTGCCCCCCCGGGACCCCTGCCCCATCCAGCCACCCATTCTCCCTGTCCCCTGTTGCCTCATGACCCCCTGCCCCTGACTGCCCCCCATCCAACACCCCTCCTTCCTGACTGCCCCCCCGCAACTCCTACCCCCATTCAACCCCCCTGTTCCCCGCCCTCTGACCGCCCTGATCCTTTCCACACCCCCGCCCCCTGACCACCACCCCTGAACTCCCCTGCTCTCTATCCACCCTGCCCCCTTACCACGATGCCTGGAGCACTGGTGGCTGGCGGTGCTACAGCCGTGCCGACCGGCTGGAGCCAGCCACTCCACCGCGCAGCACAGAGCACCGGGTCAGGCTGGGCTCTGCAGCTGCGGTGCCCCAGGAGCTCACAGCCCCGCTGCCCAGAGCATTGAACTGGTGGCGCAGTGAGCTGAGGCTGTGGGGGACAGAGAACAGCAGGGGAGGGGCCGGGGGCTACCCTCCCGGGCCAGGAGCTCAGGGGCCGGGCAAGAGGGTCCCACGGGCCATTGTTTGGCCACCTCTGGTCTAGATCCATCCTCTTTGGAACCCCCTTTCAGGTAGTTGAATGCAGCTATCACATCCCCTCTCATTCTTCTCTTCTGCAGACTAAATAATAATCCCAGTTCCCTCAGCCTCTCCTCATAAGTCGTGCTCCAGCCCCCTAATCATTTTTGTTGCCCTCTGCTGGACTCTTTTCAATTTTTCCACATCCTTCTTGTAGTGTGGGGCCCAAAACTGGACACAGTACTCCAGATGAGGCCTCACCAATGCCAAATAGAGAGGAATGATCATGTCCCTCGATCTGCTGGCAGTGCTCCTACTTATACAGTCCAAAATGCTGTTAGCCTTCTTGGCAACAAGGGCACACTGTTGACTCATATCCAGCTTCTCGTCCACTGTAACCGCTAGGTCCTTTTCTGCAGAACTGCTGCCTAGCCACTCGGTCCCTAGTCTGTAGCAGTGCATGGGATTCTTCCGTCCTAAGTGCAGGACTCTGTACTTGTCCTTGTTGAACCTCATCAGATTTCTTTTTGCCCAATCCTCTAATTTGTTTAGGTCCCTCTGTCTCCTATCCCTACCCTCCAGCGTATCTACCACTCCTCCCAGTTTAGTGTCCTTGTTGGATATGCACATATGACAAACGTGTCCTTGTTGGATGCTACTGTTGTGGCAAATGATGCAACCACTTCCTTTTCTGCAGTATTGGCAAGTGGTTGGTTATATTTCAGAATAATTATTGAGTTTAGCTTGAAACAATTTAGATAAAACATGTAGCTTATCATTATGCTCAACTTGTGGAGCAAGCCTGAGAAAAGGAGGCCAAGGAGAAACTCTTGACACCTTAATTTTTTGGAGGCTAAGGATGGTCTATTGGTAAGGGTGCTAGTCTGGGACCTGGATTCAATTCGCTACAGCTCTGCAGACTACATGTGTAACATTGGGCAAATTTCTCAATTTTTCTGTGCCTCACCTCACCATCAATAAAATGGATGTAATAGTATTTTCCTATCTCATAGGGATGCTGTGAGGATAAATACATTAAAAAAAAAAAAAAAAAGACACTGAGATGCTCAGATGCCATGTTACTGGGGGACCGTATAAATACCTAAGAACATAAGTTTAAAAAAAGAGATAGAGGTTGATCAGGAAATAAATGCTGGAGACCGTCCTGTTTTAAGCCTCATATTTAATATCCATTTAAACTTTGTTATTGGCTTTTTGGCACGTCTGAGATACAAGTCAGAGAAAAGCATCTGGGTCATTTGGAAGGCCAGATTTAGCTGTACTTTCATGCTCTTACCAGGCTGAACTGGCCAACCATGGCAATGTATTCGCCAAACTTGTCAGTTTCAGTTTTACTAAAATTCTAGCAGCCCTTCTAAACCAGTCTTAAAAAAAAAAAAATGCCTTCTGTTGCTGATGCATGGTGTTAAGTTTATTAAACACATGTAATTGCTGGTGATAAGCTTACCCACAGTGACACTTCTTGCAGAGTAAGTTACTACCCTGTACGAGTAAGGGTGGCAGAATCTGGTCTTAAAAGAGACTTGAGCAAGTTTTTTTCAATATACATAGACAAAAGCACATGCTAATACACAGCTTTTGTTCCCCAGGTGTTTCAGCATATGTAGAAGTATGGTCATCCAACAGAACAGAGAATTATTCAAAAACGTTTGCACAACAACTTCTGGATATGGGAGCAAAAGTAAGGAAATAATTTTCTTGTAAATGAATCAGGAGGGCAAAGTTCCCTCTCAGACTGTTGCTTGCATATTCTATTTGTCATGTATGTCTCCTTGTATGTATGGGTTAATCTAGGAGGGATGTTATAAGAGTCAATATTGCTACCATCACTCAAATTCATGAATGTGTATGGCAGATGGGAAATGTGTTAAACCCTATTATATAGTAGTATACCAAAAAACACGTTGTTGTGAAGCAGTTAGGCTGGCTAAACACAACATACTTGACACAAACCCACAAAAGCAAGGAAAAGAAAAGCTAAGCTGCTTACCAGGACATATCCAGTACTCTTCCACGAACTTTCACCCACCTTGTCATTGCTACAACTATCATAAATCCCAGACCATGCACCACAGTCTTACCTCTAACCTTGTCAACCCACCATCCTGCCAACATCCCTACTAGTGTGGCACTGCTCTGAAAAGTGAATGTAAAAATAGTATTGGGGGATTCTACGTATGTGTTTCAGTGGTGAATATCTCTAATGTGTTTGGTTTTCAAGTGTAAAAATGTTTAACTCCAGATTTCCCCCTCATTTTTTAGCCATGCTGAGCTTGAACTGGAGGCTAGACATCTATGAGGATATGTCAGAGGGACAGGCTGAGATTTTAGTTTGAACGGAAGGAGACAGGCCTGGAGTAGAAAGGGAAACCTACTGTTTAGTCATGTTAGCCCAGCAAAGCCCAGATGCATGGGCTCTGCATCTAAGAGAGTGCGCTCGGTACTATCTTTCATGTGAATCAGAAAAATTGTTTACTAAATTACAATTAGACACCTGTGCAAGTCTATTAAAGGGGTTGGCACATGTCATTGATAGTACGGGCTATGGAATCTCTGTTAACTGGTGATGATGTGAAAGAAGGAAAGATCCCAGCTTGACTCTAAGCTGATGGAACCTTCCTATGACTTCTCTGTTTCAGTCGGCCTACAAAAAGGAGTTCAGAAGAGCTGGCAGTTTCTCAGAGACAATATTAAAGGCACAATAGCAATCTGTCACGATGTCTATTGAGCTGTGACACTCTAAGGGCAAGTCTTCACTACAAAATTAAGTCGACTTAAGTTATGTTGACATATAGCCACCTCAGTAATTAAATTGGTTTTTCATGTCCACGCTACTTCTGTTGGTGGTGCTCATCCTCACTAGGAGCCCTTCCACCGATTTAACTGACCATGTGGGGCACTGGGGCTGACAGCTGGAACAGTCAATGCAGTGTCTACGCTGACTCTGCGTCGACCTAACTATGTTGACCTACGATCTATGCCTCTTGCAGAGGTGAAGTTATAAGGTCAGTGCAGCGGGCGACTTACATTGGTGGGAGCAACATTATAGTGTGGACGCTTACAGAGTTAGGTTGACCTAACTCTGTAGTGTAGACCAGGCCTAATTTTCCCAGACCTGAAGAAGAGCTTTGTGAAAGCTTGTCTCTCTCACCAACAAAAGTTGGTCCAATAAAAGATATTACCTCATCCACTTTGTCTTTCTAATATGCTGGGACCGACATGGCTATAACAACACTGCATACTTTGCACTCGTTTTTATTTAATTTCATTTTGTTGATTCAGACAGTTTTCCAATGTGTCAAGGTTGGTTTGAATTCTAATTCTGTCCTCCAAAGTGCTGGCAGCCCCTCCCAGGTTGGTGTCATCTGTACATTTTATAAGCGCACACTCCATGTTGTTATCCAGGTCATTAAAGAAAATAGTACAGGACCTAGAATAGACACCTGTTGTATTAATTTAAATGGAATAAATGAGCCCAAAGAAGTTAACATGACCCTGAAACTGTCCAACATTGAACAGGTTTTTTAAAAGTTCAGGGTTTAATATACAGACTTCAGCCTGCTTAGGACCATGGGAAACCCATTTTTTTTAACTTTGGTTAAAAAAAAAAGGAAAAACAGTTTAAGAATTTGAAATATAAAGTGTTAAGGCTTTCATTTTAACCATATCCAATGTTCATTTTCCTTTAGCTATAGAGAATTTTTATAAGGGAAAAACTTGTTTGACAGCCTTTTAGGTGGCATTAAAGATTATAACTGTCCTTTTTGTGCAAAGGAGCAAAAGTTGGTTGAGGTGCCCTGAAGCTGCTGTTGCAGCTTGATTCTGTTTTTTAGAAGACAAAATGACAAAAGAGGGCAGAGGAAAGAACAGCAAAAATAGCAAATGCAGCTTCTGTCTCTGGTGTTGATTTTCACTTGCAATCTCGCTGCTGGAAAAAGACAGGCTCCGCGGTGGTCTTATTAGCCACTCAGAGGCCTGTCAAACTTTTACCAGAATTGCGCTCTTTAGGGCACTGCATTTAGCTTTCTTTCTGGCCACAGGGTTACAGCAGTGTTAGAAAACATAAAGTCTTGGCCAGCTAAGTCGGACTCTCTTAGTAAGTAGAAGGGAAAAAGGATAGAGATAGGAAACAGAAGAAATAAAGTAGGGAAGGAAAAGGACACTTCGGGTGTTGGGAGCAGCCAGTCTCACGTTCCAGTTGGTGTTTGGGATTTAGTCAGGGCTGGAGGAGGTGTCATCTGGGTCCCTCTCTCTGGCCTGGTCTGGTCAGGACAGCTCTTGGGATTAAAATAAAGAAGGCACAGTGGCATCATGCTGGATTCTGGTGTCCCAGGCAGGGTGGATTTGATTTAAATCACTAGTCAGGAAGACTCGATTTAATCATGGATTTCTACATAAAAGTGCATTCTTGTTGGTTGTTATAACCTTAATACGTGTTCTTCACAACTCAGAGATAGATGTAGGCTTCATTTTTAGAAGGTACACACTATACATTTTTAAAGTGATTTATTTTGAAAACTTTTCAGATTAGTTTTACAGCTATATCAGAAAATTAATGATTGTTTGGTTATTTCATTTACCAAAGGTAACTGAAGCAGATATTTATGAAGTCATTGAGAGGTGAACTATCTCCAATTCAACAGGTTAATCATTAATATTTGGAGGATTTTCTTGCCATGCTGTATTAGGAGGAGAACATCACCAGAAAAGACATTTAAATTGTTTTATTTAACTAAAACAACAAAGTTATGTATTCTGGATTTTTTCTTCAACAGCAAACATATAATATTTTAACAAAACAAACATGAATTTTTGAATTTAGTTAAACATTCACATTTTTTAAAATTAGTTTTTTACTAAAATAGTTAAATGAAATATTAAAAAAACAAAATTAAATTGACTATGTCAGCCAGGTCAACATGAGAAACTTAAAATATTGGCTTCTGCAGCTAACTCAGTCATCTTCACCTTCATTTTCCTGTTTGTTCATAATCTGGAAAAGCTTTCCTGCTTTTTCAGGTCCCAAACGATTTCTCAATTTGGAATGAATTAGTCCAAAGGAAGAAAATATTCTTTCTACACTGGCAGAAGAAGCAAGTGCTGTTAAAAGTGAAATTATCACTTCAGTAGTCTCTGAATCCAAGTGCTTAAGTGACTTCCTCAAGTTCACTGGTGTGACTTTCTTTAAAACATCATCAGCAAACATATATTTCTTGAATGGTTCACCCTTAGCTCTGAAGTTTATTATAGTTGGTATTATGGAGGGATGATTGCTGGATGTCCATGTCATAGCCAACTCCTCTTCTTCAGCAGTTAAGGTTTGACCCTGGTACCGAGTATTGAGAAATAATATATAGAGGTGAGAATATTTGCAAGAAAATGAGCTGGAGATAGTGCTTGTCTCATTTGTTTTTTTAATGCTTGTAATTTAACTCTCTCATTGCATATTTCTCTTTTTAAGATCTCACTCAGTTCCTTCCAAATTTCAACAGCATCAGCAATAAAACAGCTATTTCCCTGCATTTTGTTCAAGGCTACAGAAATAGGCTTCAGGGTACTCAGCATGTGTTCAACATTTCTCTTAAGCCCCAATGTTGAGAACTTTGGCTGTGACAGTGCTATCTATTTTTTCACGATTTTGTTCACAAACTCATCAGATTAGGCCAGTTCTTGATATAGTGCTCAAAACAGTCCACTACTGATTTTCCATCACACGTCTTGTGGGAGAGTTAGCTTGATTTCTCCCACGTTTTTCAGAGCAGCTGGTGCAAAGTGGTTGTTACGGAAGTATTTTGCAATTTTAACAACATTAGCCTTTATTTCTGGCACACTGTAGTCTTTGGCTAGGAGGTCCATCAAATGAGCACTGCAACCGTATGTTATTAGCTTGGGACTCTCTTCTAAATAATTTCTTCTCATCTTGATACATTTGCAGCATTGTCTGTGACCAAGCTGCGTACTCGACATTTTAATTTTTTTCCCACAGTTTGTTATACCTTTTACTGCTACTTCTTGTAAGTATTCTGCTGTGTGCGCATTTCCTGATGTATTAATTGTTTCTGTAAGGAAGATATTCCCCCCTTCTCTTGTCACACAAGCACATACAACAGGGTCATTGTGGATATTGCTCCACCCATCAAGACGCAGGTTAACAATTTTACCCTCTAGACCTTTTGCACACTGCTCAATTTCTCTTTCATACACGTTATCCAGCAATTTGCCTGTGACATCTGCTCTGTTGGGTGGACTGTATCCTGGTCTTAATGACTTGAACCATGTTAATGAAGTGTGGGTTCTCAATCATACGGAAAGGAGAATTTGTTGCATAAACAAACCGGGCAGTTTTTTCATCAATTACCCCTTTTTGTAATCTGCTGGTTCTTCTCACAAACTTATCTATGGTTGTTTCTGGATGATGGAGGTTTTTTTTTTTTCTTTTTGCTACAGGTGATATACTGTGCGCCCACCCTCCCCTGCAGCCGCTGTCACAAAACTCTTTCCCATGTGCCCCCCAGACACTGCCAACACACTCTTATCAACCTCCTGGCTCCAGTCTGTACCCGCGGCATTCCACTCCTCCCCTGTCACAGTCCAACACTGCGGACTCCCAATACCCACTGCACTCAACGCCCATCCCTCTGCAGTTTAGCTTTGCTGAAGTACAGTACCTGCTGCACTGTA